ACGATGATCTGAATAGTTTTGTTTGCTTTTTTCCCATCAAAAAAGTTGGAGGTAAGTTAAGTTCTTCACGTACAGCGCTAAAGTGTTCATGTTGAGTTAAGGTTGCATTTTTTGGAGTTGGATGACAATTCATTCAATAAAGTAACATCTACTCTCGAAGCGGCTGACTAATCTACTCACTGAGCATGCTGAAAAGGTGGAGACCGAAGTTTAGACCAAATAAGGAAATATAATGGAAGACAAGAATGAGCTAAATCCCATAGCATCACGGGGTCTACTCATATAAAAGTAGAAAACCTCTATTCAAAATATTTCATTAGTATTGCTTTAGAATTATCATCATTATCATTAAGGCAAACGGCTGATTCCACTTTTATAACCGTTTGGTTAGACTACAATGTTCATGTCGGCGAAATATCCTTCCTCGCTTAGGGTATCTCTACTTGATGGAAATCATCTCGATTACATTCAACCCAATCTTTATCGAGCCCAGATCATGCGTATGGAATGACGACACGTCATGGCTAAAACTTTTATCAGCCAGTGCATTAGAACATAGTATTTTAGACAAAAATGAGTAGACTCCAAAACTATCGCTTCATCGTGTCCAGCCAGTATGAAATTTGTTTGCGCAGACTGGATTCCTGCTGACGATGTCAGTCTGTCGGCATACTCAGACGTAATTCATTCAAGCATGATGGGCCGATCTACCTCCCCAAATCAGGCTCCAGTTACGCCCAAAGACGTCGACTCTTGGAGAATCAGTGAAGCAAGACACCGTCCCGAAGCGTGGAGTCCTGCCTCCATTCATGCGAGACTTTGTCATACCCAATGGCCCTAATGCCGAGTTAGCGGACTGCGAATGTGTTTGTGTTCGTCTGTGTCCAAATCTCGGCGCCTGCAGACGGTGTGGCCATCCTTTGCGTAACTGCTGTACCTCAGTCCTGATCTTTCTGCTGCTGCAATGACCAATGATGCAGCCTGATTATCGTCAAAATTCTACTCGAATATGTGCAAAAAATCAATCAAAGATGCATTTTTCTGCATACAACCAGCCTGAACCCGTCTTCACAGAAAGACATCAGAGCTGTGGTGATGAAGAGTTTTGTTGGTCCATCTCACCAGAAGACGACCGATGAGTTCCATTGCTATGCAGTCGTTTAATGCTACCATAGCACACTAAAGGTCACGGAAGGTCAAGCTTCACTTCAGCATACATCGTTGGAGCTGCAGGCCACCCCCAAGGAAGCTTCAGAATATCATTTTTTCAAAAATACTGACTTGCATATTGTGCCTACCAGTAACTAAAATATACTGAATATGCAAATATATATACATATATATATAATTAGTCGAATTTTATTTTTACACAAGCATGCATGAATATATATGAGGCTTATGCAAGAAGTAAATCCAGCTCTGATGCCGTCTGTCAAATGACATGACACTTTCAGCCAGTCCGAAGAAGTATGTCTCGTAAACTTTATCATCCTAAACGTGATGATAACAGGGATAGCGACAGGAGTCGGTCGTATTCCGTTTATTTACTTACTTGCATTTTTATGCGGCAGACAAATTCCTGAAAAAAAATTTGTTGTTACGATGCGTCAGGTAAGGCAGGAGACTGGTGTCGACAAGCCCAAGCAGGGAATGAAGAGAAAGTATTTTTGAGTGGCAACGGTAAAAAGAGGTCTACCAGTGTTGACCGGTGACTGGATGCACATTCCAAGACGCGCAGCCGACACGACAGACCACATTTTCAGTCATTATCTTAGGACCAAAGTCGAACTCGGACAGCTTTTGTCCCTTAATTCATACACATTACTCCCACTTTGTGTGGTCAGGTCTCCACTTCATCCCACATTCTGCCGTCGACATGTACGTCCCGACGTGGACCACCTACATGCCTCTATCCTCCTCTGTACCATAGTTTTTGGTGTCTTGACCATGAACTACAGTATTAAAATTGGAGCCTCTAAAGGCTTGCAAATGTCTAAATAAGCTTGTTCCTCAAAGGCATCAAAATTGCTACTTCAACTCAAACTGTTCAACTTACCTCCTCAATACGAGCGTTGCTTTGTTTGCTGTTCTCGCTCATTCTCGACCGTTTCTTTCCTCTCATGACCTTCCTGCATGCACTAGGCTCCTTTTTGCGTGCATGCCAACGACTGTAGATCAGTCTTCCGTAATTTCAGTCCTTAAGCCACATTTTGTCATCTACCGCTCACGACTCGTCTCTTTGGAAGGTAGCTTGCAAAACCTGAGTCGATTTGTACACTTCCATAACTCAGAATTTAACATCTCTTTGTCCGAGACATCTTATGCTCAAGAAACCGACTACTCCAATCGGCGCTATGCAATTATGATGAGAATTGAGATTCAGGATATTCAGGTGTGGGATTTCCTTCTAGACGCTCTGTTCTTAAGGATCTCAGAGTGAATAGCCTTCACACACAATCCATTCCCACTTCATCCTGAGCCTCAGAATGTCGACAGCTCTGTCGAGCTCAATAATGCAAAATAAAAGAAATCGCAAGATCAGAAAAGCCGTCGACATCATCCTTCAAAAGGACCTTTTTGAGACAAGAATCGGCTAGAACTGCAAAAAGAAGAGGACTGAATGAAGAATGTAACTTGGAGAATCAGAAAATGCATCACGAACCAAGGGCTTTTGAGGCAAATGTAAAGTTTACAAGAAGACGATTGTCTTGGGTAGAGTCAAACAAAGGAGACAACTTTACGAATTTGCAAATAACAACTGCATTAAGAGATTCGCATTGTGGACACGAAATTTGGGGCCCAGTCGATCACAGTGCACATGCTTAGCCTTGATTGCAACGGTAGAGCATGACAACACAAGATGGTTATAACCTAAGAAAGGACCGAAAGCTGAAGAAGCTACGGCTTGATGCAGAAAAGACACATTACACCAATTGAAGAGGACATAGTATAGAGTATATAGATGAGAAGTATTCACCAAAATTCGTTGAGCTAATCAAGGACTAGTTCAGTTTTCGCACAATACGTCCAATAGGCCTTTATTCCCAAAAGGTATCATTATCCCGACAGGAGTGTATTGTCGTCTCTACCTCGCCCAGATCTCATTAACACCACCAGCCCAAAATGGAACAGTCCTTGATCCCCTTAAAAAAATAGGATGATTACATTTCGTAGATATGCTCTATTAGTAGCTTAAAAAGCCTACTTATACACTGAAAATAGTACATTTTTTTGACATTCGAATTTCGCTATGGGAAGCCGGGGCACAATTCCCGTCAAATTCACTGGCGAAACAGATGGCGACACCGAAAATATAATCCAATTCAGCCTGTATGAATCAACCCTTACTACTCATGAAACCTAGAGAAGATGGTTGTCTCAACATCCAATATTGTGGTACGACTCTCCATTTTGAAGGGAAAGTTGGATGGAAAGAATTCGTGATGTGGTCTCACCGGAAACAGGATTGTTGCGTAAGGAAGACTGTTTAATTGTGCAAATTAGTCCTCGGCTCACTGTCCTGTGCTAAGCCCTTGTCTGTACCGCCGTGACAGACATCATCAGAGCAAGGTTTCATACTTTACGAAATAGAGAAGAAATATACTAAACCAAAAGAAGGTAGCCGGCTATAACCAAAGTCGCTTTTTAGCACACCTAGCACCACCCTGGAATCATAACAGGAAAAAAGTCAAGCAAAGGTTCACTAATTAGATTAGTCAATTTAGCAATGTATAATACATAGTTTAGCTTCAATGGTAAGTTGTATGAGCCCCTATTTTAGCTAATAACCACATGACCCAATTAGAAGTTAGTGAGTTTCAAGAGACGCTCCTAGTTCGCTATATGGACGATTACTTTGCTGTTTTGGCAACACGACAAAAAGAGTTTGAGGGAATTTCTTGAGCTAACAAATGGAGTAAATTTAGACACTAAGTATACCATGGAGTCAGAAAAGGAAAACAAATTGCCTTTTTTGGATGTATTAATGAACAAAGAAGATAATAAGTTAGGTAGAGAGATATATATAGGAAACAAATTTACACGGGTTTCCCTATTAATTTCTTCTCGAACCATGCATATAAAGTAAAAATAGGGGTTATGAAGTCTATGATAATAAGGAGTCTGCGTCTAGCAGTTTCAAACCGTAGGGACCAGGAGATTGATAGATTTCAAAACAATTACCCATTTTAATTAGTAGACAATTACATATCAATGGAGTAGTTAACAAGTTTAGAAGAGTATGCTATCAGGTGCGGGATGGACGAGTAGACCTTTCTACTCACTTCCTGACAAGTTCTGAAAAAATCGGCTGAACTACTGAGGAAATGGGATATAAAAGCAATGTATAACGAGAAGGTAACACC